TGCCCAGCAGCCTGGTCTTTTGTTCGGAGTACCAGTGTGTGTTGGTAAAATAGACCATAAAACTATCTTTGGCTTGCTTTTATTGTGTGTTTTTTGTTTCATTTCAGGAATAACTGACTTATTCAACCTCCTTGCCAGTATGAATAGTTCTAAGCGCAGAGTCACCTTCCAAGCTGCTGATAACACAGAAGGGATTCATCCAACTGATGATCAGAGTGGGTTTTTTGCCAGAGGTCGAGATTTTGAGAGTCGCTATGTCAATCACCAGTACACTGAGCAAGAAAAAGAACTTCTAGCTAGCTATGAGAGTGTAGATTATCTGCCATCTCATAGTCATGTGTATGAAAATTGGCTGAAACAGCAGCCTAAAAGGTACTTTCTCTTCATGTACATGTATGTGGCTTTAGTGGAATAGAGTTCTTAATAGTAAGGAAATGAAAATGGTCATGATCAATAATATGGTTATTCATTTTAAGGTTGGAAACTGCGGTATAACTTTCTATATCTATTAAATACTACCATAACAGCAGTCTTTGTTTAAATCCCATTTGTCTCCAGTGTACAACCCAAATACCTTACGAACAGCTTAAATTATTTCTTTCAAGAGAGTTTTAACAGTAGACTTAAATCTCTACTTGGGTGTGCATAGTACATTTGTGGCATCACCAAGTTCAAACATTTGTGGCAGTTAAAGAACAGCTCATGCTTTCCACATTGGAAAGGTACATGTACATGTAACCCATTAAACTTTTGAACTAACTGTAAATATAAAGAGGAGGCAATTGGAAAGCATTGTTTGAGGTTAACATGTTGACAACACTAACACACTTGTCCATGCACAAGCCATTTTTCATTTTCTTTGTGTGTGGCATCTGATAATTGCCTCACTACACCATTAAACTTCCCGGAAAGTGCACAGTTGTGTAGGCTATAGCCTGGAAGATGGACTCTTAACCGTTACCCCCATGTGAAATCCTATTGAAATTGGAGGATTTGGGACTATTAGGGCTGTGGCATTGGACTTGGAAGACAATGTTAGGGTTTGACCTGAGCCTATATGTACAGGTACCAGTACATGCTCTAAAGATTGTTATGTACATGTACATGCAGGGAATTCAAGCATTTTTTTTCACAGCGCACAATGCAACTTATGGTTTAATTATGCCATTTTACAGATAGCTTCAGACAGATTTATAACAATGTCACCTATCTGCAATGTGGTACTGATCTTTGTTACAGTCAAGTATTTGAAGCCCTTGTACAATGTAGTTTTAGTTATAACATTTCATTATAAGGCAGTCTGCTGACAATCTTTTGCAAGACATAAGTGACTAGATCCAATTAGTTCAAGTTTACCACCACTGGTATCTTCATTTTTTGGCAAGCTGTCAAGCAAATGCGAGCCTTTGTAATAATAACTTCTGTCCAGGCTGGCCAGGTAACTATAATTATGTCATTATTGTTTGCTTTCCTCTTAAATTTCATCAATACCAAACCTAATCCTTATACAGGCTTCTTGCCCGGAAGTGGATTTTATGTATTAAACAAGAAATTGAACCCCCAAATGTTAAAGTTTCAGGAGTGTACCCAAGATTACCAGAAGGGGGGTTTAAAATGCAATGGCTTGAGATCAAGAGGGTCCAGTGATATGACTCCAAGGGAAGAAGAATCAAACCTTATATCTGGTGCATTTTAAATGCCCCAAAAGATTTTTTTTATCAAAGGTCCTTTTTGTGGTGGTTTTTATTAGTGAAACAGTGGAGACCGGGTTGTATTGAGGTGCAAGAATCTAAGTACCAAGTTTTCTGATTTAGTTCCAAGTGTGGGCTGAGTTTACTGAAAATCAAGTATGGGTCAAGTACTTGCCAGAACTTGAGACGTACCTGAGTACAAGTATGAGTACTCCAACACTGAATGGAGGATTACAGACATGACAGAGGATTAGAAAAGGCAGGTTCAAATGCCCAGAACTTCCTTTGTATGACCTAGAGCTATAAATTGTATGACACGTACATAATATATGCATGAGTACACTGTGCTAGATGCAAATTGTCATGACAGTTAGGTTTTCTAGAATTGAATAAGCATTCCAATCTGGTTAGGATTTTGGTAGGGTTGGGTTGGGGAGTTGGGGTTTGGGATGGGATAGTGGCTGGGCGGGATGGAGATTCAGGTGGGAATTTGGGGGGAATTAGGAAGAGTGAGTGGATTTGTCAACTTGGGGTGGGATATGTTGTAGTCAGTGATGTGGATGGCAATGGTGATTGAATTAAGAATTGTTCATTTTTTAAATTATGTTCAACATTTACCTTGGATTTGATCAATTAATTAGACTTTTGACTCATTTCACATAGCCATAAATTGTTGATAGTCGGAGGAGAGATCACAACATGATAGCAAAATACATGTACATGCAAGTCACTGTGTGTGGCCGTTGAGAGAAAATACACAGTTTTGTGTGTTTACTCAAATGAAGTTATTTGCATATATGTACATGTATAAAAGTTGCAGGGAGGCATGACAACTTCACTGCTGTAGTTTCATATTTTGACACATTTTCCTGTTTTCTTGGCAAAGTTAAATGAAATGACATTATTCTGGTACTATTACACTGGTTATCCATATATATATACTGCTACTCTGGTTAATATCCATAATGGCAGTTGATCTTAGGATGACTTGGGCTCAAGAAACGCTTGTGTTTGCTCTCCAAAGACTATTAGGTATCGATGCTACCATGTAGTAGATCCTAATCATATACAGTACACAGAAAGAATGGTATTAAAAATGATAACTGCTTTCAGCTATTTCCATTTAGTCATTACTTCCCAGCAGTACTGTAAAAATGTTTGCTTTGTTTGACTTACATATAGGTTGGACTGGGATCGATGGGTAATGATGGGCCTGATTGGCTTCACTACCGGCTTGGTTGGTTTTTTGCTGCACCAAATGATTGGGCTCATTTCGACTTTGAAGTGGGAAAACACTCAGGATTACCTTATCGTAAGTGTGATTGTACATGTGTACATATACATGTACCAGTACATGGAGGGTATACACTCATTTTTAAAGTATTTGAAATGCCAAGATAAGAATTATTGAAAGATTTGTAGGCTCTGTTACTTTGTACATGTCCAATACCAGCTGCAGTATCACAAAGGTCATTTCACTAGCCTTTTCTACTGTGTACATTGTGATCCTGTCTGCCAGTGTTGTCAAAAGGCAAAAGCCTTGAGCATGAGTCACATGCCTCAAGTCTTTTTTTTTTGCCGAGCATACCTTGAATTCTGTGGTTTTTGCTTGATATGCTTCTTGTTCAGATTGCTTAGGTTAATAAATCTTTTTCCAAAGAGCTATGGTTCATTACAAAGGAAAAGCTAGCTTTTTCATCCGAAATGAAAAGAATCCACCATGTAAACTTTGGCTACAAGAAGGTATTACTTTATTTCTTTACTTTATTAACCTTCTATGCAAGGGTCCAGAACAAGTACCCTGATGGAGCCCATGTTCGGTAAAGCTGGAACCCCATCTCCTGACAGAAGCTTTTTGTTACATTTTAAAACACAAGATGTGTTAGGGTAGACTGGTCTCATTTTGTAAACTGCTGATGGCATGTTTGAACGCTCTGATGTGATGCCATATAGTGTCCACCTTGTATTACATGTAGCTTTATTGAATAGAGCGATCCCAATACGATGCTTTAATCGTCGATCTGTTCACTTTCGCGTTTGAAAACTAGGCTTTACGTGTCAGCTTCAATTCTTAATGTGATCAGACGAATGAAAGTAAGGAGTCAAGACACAAAATACATAAAGATATGTTAAATTCAGACTTTTCAGGCTGCACATTTTTGTGGAAGAGTCTTTCAGGATGATTCCACACATCAAATCAAATGAAAAAATAACGGCAATTTTACCGCAAACTAATGTACCTGCGATGGTCGCGTATCTACATGTACAGTGGGCGGTTTAAACTGGAGTGGCATCACACTTAAGAACCGGATACTGCATGTACCGTGTCGACTCTGCGGGCGGTGTCGAGGTTCAACACAAAGGGCCTCGGTTTCAATGCTGATATGTGCAGAGGGCACTAATGTGAAATCCCTCTATGTAGTGCTGTACATCATGCATACCGACGAGTTTAAGCAGAACTCCTTGGTAGCAGACACTTTTATATGACACCATAGGGCCTGCTGTACGTGTGTGCGTGTGTGCGTGTGGTCATGAACCCCTGCATGCGATTTTCTGCCGTCCGCCATCGAGTTATGTATAGAAAGAAACTTGCACTCTTCTCAAATTTGTAAAAAGTTTTCTTTTTTGTTATGAAAACATTTTCTTGAGTCACGAATCACCAAGCTCAAGTCTGATTCAAAGTGGTTGAGTCAGTTAATTTACTATGTGACTCGGGTCGAGTCTGAGTCACCAAAAAGTGAATTGAGTCAGAGTCCTGGACTCATGTCCTATAACACTTCTGTCTGCTCACAAATTAGCAGGTTTGTCAACTCGGTCCAGGGTTAATTGAGAAGCATTTACTTGTAAATTATGGTGTTATAATGCCCAATTGTGCCGTAATCATGCTCTGTTCCCTGCAGACAAAGGGGCTTTTATCAGATACGTGTACCTTGCAAGATTTGAACTGTCCAAGGATGGCCACAGTAACTGCAAATATTACACGCTTAAGCGGAGCCATGTGTGTTATTGTGTGGATGCTGTAGAGCATTATTACGTCGTATTAGGGTGTTATAACGCCATGATATGGTGTTATTACACCTTAAAAGTGGGCGTTATATCGCCTTAATAGGGCGTTAATACACCGCAATTGGGCGTTATAACAACTTAATAGGGCGTTCTTACGCCGTAATAGGGCGTTATTACGCTGTAAAAGGGTGTTTATTATGCCTGAAAGTAGGGCGTTATTACGCCCTAAATAAGGGTGTTATAACGCTGTAAAGGGGCATTATAACGCCGTAAAACAGCTGCCGTTTGCCATTCTTGCCAATTGACAAGTAATTGTAATTTTGGCTATTATATCATTGACCTGGCAAGAAAAATTGGCAATTATTTTGCAAATTTAGACAAACCTTATTACTTGTTCCTCAATGAAATTTCATTTTTTAATTTCTAACTTTCACGAACAGTTCCCACCTACGTTCGCTGTCGCAGTGGTGAAAACACATGCGCATAAGCAACAGAACGCGTGAAGTTGATACATGTACTGTACACTCTGGTCGATTACACTACATCAGCCGTACATGCATATTGCATGCAACCCTAAAGCTGCAGGTCAAAAAAATCATCGATGTTGTAAAGGTTTTCTGCAAGTTATTTATGTATGTATTTTCTGTGTTCATGAGTTTAACCCCTTTGCACTGGGAGGCGGCTACAGCCGCCATAAAAATTGAGATCCTCGGCCTGCTTTTCAGCTAATATTCTAATATTCAGCTAATACGGTGAAAGAAGGCAGTCCCTGGCGCTTTTATATATGGTAATTGGTCTTTGTGCGTAGCCCAGAAATGAAAAGGCCGATTTTGCATCATCATCTTTTGCTTCACAATAGTCCCCACTTTGAAAAGAGGCAACAGGAATGTGTAAGGGTGAGTAGAGCCGCAACAATCAGCCTTTTCACCATGTAATTCAAAGCGTGCAGAGCACGTAGGGCATCAAACCAGGAATTTGCGGTTTGTCAGGTGGCCTTGGTGGCCAAGCAAGGCTGGAATTCTTAAAGAAGAAATTCCCGTTGTCAGGGGGTTAATTTGAGGTTGTTTTGCTCATACTTGAAAGTTGAAGCGAGCGTGTTTCAAAAAATTCCTGCCGCAGCACAAGGTTTATCGCCCGCTGGTCTGGATGCATCACGTGTGCTTACCACGAGATACTCGGACATTGTTGGCCAGTTTGCTGTCATGATTGCCTGAGTAGCACTGTGTGCACTGTGAATTGTCCATAATTCTGGTGAATTGTTGACTGTTGAAATTTTTTATATAGATTAACACAGGTGTTCATCACTCTTGAGATAATTTTGGGAGCCGTCGTTCCCATTCATGCTATTCAATCAGCACAAATAATTGCCCCCTCCCACCAAAAAATTTTCTGACCTAATGCCCGATTGTGTAATCGGAAGCACAACTATTTTTTGGGCCAAATAAAAGACTGCTTACATGCAGTAGGCCTAAGTTAAATAACCATAATAATCGCAGATTTCGAGAAACCTTGGGCAATTGTTGATCCAATTTGGGGAAGCAAATTTATTGCATGCCTGCCCGATCTGGCAAGCTTAAAAAAAAATTTGTCGCGGCCCGAGTCTGGTTGAGTGTAGGTCGGTGAACAGGTACGGTATGTGTGGGCTCCACAAATGTACAAGTTGCGTTTTACTTCCTGGGCTTTGAACATGAATAAAAACACTAAGTCTCCGCATAATTTTGTGCTTGCTTTATATACGTGTAAAATGGAGCAACCTCAAACCTGACAAACTGGATGCCTTGATGAGGGTTGCTGCTGCAGGTCTTCCAAGAAGTGTGTTTGATTTCTATCAGGCATTCAAACTGTGGTCTGGTGAAAAACCTTGTATTCTTGGTATCTGAATCATTCATATGTGCATATATTCTTCAAATGTACTTACATGCACCTTGGAATAACTTACAGCAAAACTTATGAAATATGAGACGTATGGAAATTAATTCCAACAAACATTTGAAATATTAGACGTACAGGATGTAGTTTTTATTAAATGTTTGTCCGTTTGTAATAATCCATTTGAAAAGCAGTTCACACAAACTGAAAATAATCAGAGCGAATCATGTGTTATTTGTTTATCTTTATTGTCAAACAAATTGGCTACAAAAATACATGATGTTGGCTTGTAAATTTGTAGAAAATCAAACATTTGGCTGCAGCTGTGGTTATTAATTGAAATTTTCCAGCTGGAACCCAGCTGGAACCCTGTGATTATATGTGAAAGAGCATCTTTAATTTTTTTATTATTTTAAATATTTATTTCTATGAATTTATTTTTTGTACTTACACTCTCCAGTTCCTTTCCAAGTCCAGTTGTTTTGAAACCTTGTACGTATTGACTACTTTGCACCAAGGAGCCCAGTTTTGGGTTTGTTTTCCGTACATCTAATGCAGGACTGCCCGAAATTGGACAAAAGAGCTGGGCCTTGTAACAAAAGACCCTAATTGGAACGAAAGATTGAGTTGCTTGGAATTGCCATCTTTTTTCATTTGTCAATAGCGGAGGCAATCTCTCATTGTTTTGACAGATTATACAACAGTTTGTAGCAATCAGTGTGAGTGCATTACCACTGGGGACAAAAGCACTCCAGTGCTCCATTGATGAGCAATACAATACCGCTGTATGGTATGCTAATCTAGCCCATATTGAAAAGACTTCAGCAGTGCACTGTCCCGGATTTAGGAACAAAAGAAAATTACAATCACAATCTGGGCTCTTTTTACAAGGCGGCAGGCCTGGTTGAAATATTCAGGCGTCAGATGTTATCTGTCAGATTAGAGTAGCCACCAGACAGTCATTCGTGTGGGTGTGAACGTCCAGTAAATGAAGTTACGAAGTTTTAAAGAATTTTGAAAACAGAAAAAAGGGAAAAATCACCCGGCCCAGCAGAATCAACATGGATAAATGGGCCCGGCGCAAAGTGGTTAATACTAAACTCAATGGTCACTTATCTGTTAGGGATTTCATGTGGAGTACCTCAGGGCACCAAATTGGGACCCATCCTGTTTCTGGTGTTGGTTAATGGTGCAGCATTTGGAAACCGCAGGAGTAGGTTGTACATGGAAGTACATGTACGTAGATAATGTAATGATAGGTGAAGTTATCAGTCACGGCCAAACATATAACATGCTGGCCTCTCTTAATGACTTGTCACAATGGTGTTCTGATAATAAAGTACTAACCAAACCATCTAAATGTCATACTATGATAATTGACTCGGGAAGGAAGGCTAACACACACTCACCTGTCACAATAAATGTGCATCACTTAGCTGTGTAACGTCTGGTAATTGCTTGGAGTGACTATTCAATATACATGTAATTTAAAATGGGATGTTCGTATTGCTGATATTATAACTAAAGCATCAAGTAAATTGTATACCTTATGCATTCTCAGGTAACTTGTGCACTGGTATCTGACCCACTTGATGTGGATAAATGTATATTCATCCCGTTTTAGAGTACGCCAGCCTGGTGTGGCAAGACCATAGAAAGCCTTTTGAAGCCTTCTCAGGCACAGGGATTATTCATACACGACTGCACTCATTACATTAGTATTCCCCATACTGGAATCTAGAAGTAAGTTACATGTACTGCTGAAGTTCAGTAACAAATTACTGAATTCCATGACTTTAAGAGGCATTCTCCCACCTTACAGAGTCAGTGTCTGCAGTAGGAATTGCAGAAGTACCACCACTGCAGGTCTCCAAATACCAAAATGCTGCGTGGCCAGGTACACTTGCTAGTGTTCTAAAATAATTATTCTGTTCATATGCAATACTTTTTTTATTGTCAGGAAATCCAGCCCAGTTAATTCAGTCCATTGTTTTAGGGGAACTTTCCCACAGTCCCGACCAAGTATTTTTAGAAACAGAATGGCAATTTCAATTGTCTGGGAGTATAATCAAATTGGAGGTTGCAGACTTGCAGGTTGTTGGGGCCTGGGATCAAGATCATCAAATTTGCTAATTCCGCTGATTAGTGAAGTTAAACAGTGAACCTTCAAAGATTTGACCAATGGGGAAGTTTATATGCAAACCAAACTTCAAGGAGGGTTTGGTCAAATATGTGAGTGACCAATTGTATTCTTGATGTAAATGTCCATCAAGAGACTCCAAAGGGCATTTAAGGGCCTATGCTAGGGTCTGAATTCAGTCTGCATCCATACCACCCAGCAGACCACCGGTCAACAGCCCAGACACATAAGTCGACACAGTAGCCATATGGGGTGAGTTGCTGTCCTTAGAATATTTTCCAGTTGTAATCTACCTGTATGTACATGTAACTTCATTTTGAATTTATTTTGATGACATTGATGACTAGTAGAAACTGTGTCACTTCTAATGGACTTGTATTGCTTGCTTGTTTTTGTGATCAATCTCAATCACTGCATTCATCTAAAGTTATTTTAGTGTACTTCCCTCCACTTGTTTTGATTACCCCGTTGTTTGTCAAACTCAATTCAACAGTGACCTAGTTTGTGATTGATGATGATGTTTGGACACCTTGTAAGGATAAATTTCTGTTCTATTATATAGTTCAAGTGGCATCTGTGTTTATGTCAAGGCGGGTGTAGCCAAAAGTAGGAGAAAAGCTTAACATATCCAGGTTAGCTCCTGAATTATATTGTATATTTATATTTCAAGCAATATCACACTCTTTTGGAAGTGTTTTTACAATTTTTTGTATGCCAGATTTCAAAGTTAGTTCATGCCCACCAACAGAGATTAAGAGTTTTATTTTGTGTGCACTAAGTCATTTTATGATGTTTTATGTGAAGACTGTCACCTAAGATGTTTTAGTTCGAGGACACAGACTGTCTACCCAAGAAAGTGTGTAGTTGGTCACATTCCTTCAGTGGTCTTAACTGTTGAACAGCCGTGTATTGGTAATAAGAGAACTCAAGGCTATACACTCAAGCCACAGTGTATGACCTATGACATTTTACTACAAGTGTGTGTACAAAGTATTTGCACCATGTAATGTGTATGTTGTAAATGCTGTATTATCTACATGTAAATATGTTATTTTCCTAATATTACAGGGGTCCGTCGACCAATCAGATTGATCCTTCGACCAATCAGATTAGTCCGTCGACCCATCAGATTAGTCCACCGACCCATCAGATTAGTCCGTCGACTAATCAGATTAGTCCGCCGACCCATCAGATTAGTCCGTCGACCAATCAGATTAGTCCGCCGACCCATCAGATTAGTCCGTCGACCCATCAGATTAGTCCGTCGACCAATCAGATTGGTCCGTCGACCCATCAGATTAGCCCCTCGACTGATTGATTGTTGTACATCAGTCCATCAGTCCGTCAACCCCATTTTTTGAGGAGAGCTTCAACAAAGATTTTGGTCAGTTGTGGAGCAAACAACAGAGACAGTGTCGTCCGTTAATTACGGTCATATAAGTGAGAACCTTGTGCTTGTGGCATAAAAACCTATCTGGCAGTCGGGCGGATAATACAACCTCAATCAACTCAAAGTCTGCAGGGAATGCAGGAGATGGGGTTGTCTTTGATTGGCACTTTGTTACCAGGACCTGCAAGTTCTTAACATGTTTTATTGAATTTTAATTTACAATTTTTCTGTAGATTTTCTCCGCTTTTAACTTGAGATTTGTCGTGTTATTTGTTGAGCTTGTATTTTTGTTTGTTGGATTGTGTTTGGTTTTAATGATTAACAACAAATACAATTTATTATAATATCCTATCTACATATATTTTTATGTGTCTGATGTTTTAGAAAAGGATTCTTGGGGTTCTGTTTATAGTAATTTTTCTTCTTTCTTTTTCTTTAAATTTTTTTCATGTAATTGTACAGTATGAACCTTGTAGTGGTCTCATATGTATATAATAAACTAAAAAATACTATTTATATATGGACAATTTTTAGACATGAAAATTGAATGGAAAATTTGCTCACTTTTTCCGAACACAACTAAGCTAGTACGAGGGTATGAATGGTGCTCATTTTCGACCGAAGCTGGCATGTCCAGTCATGGACTGCAGGCTTTATCACAGTCAACGCTGAAAAAGGAACGATTGTAGCTGATTATTACGGCCCAGTACAAAATATAAACCATTCGGATAATATCCATCGCGTACCCTTTTGTTAGTTGCTTACATTAATGATTGACGCACACAGAAAAGCCAAAATTACCCCTGACATGCCTGAAATGAACCTGATATGAAGTATTTGTTGCATATCCGTAGTTGCCAATCCCGGTGTCGAAATGCTGCTACCCAATTTTCACATCTTTTCTTGTCTGCTAGGTTTTGCTTAAATACACCCTCGTTGGTATGTGCAGCCGACGGCACAACACGTCTCAGGCATTTGTTTGCCCTTGAGCTGAGCGAATGTTGGCTTGCTGTACTGCTGCTTGTTGTTGAGGTCCGTACCGTCGCGCGCGAGCGATAACCGGCAAAATGCTGCCATTACAAGTGGGCATAGCTAACGACGTCAGCAGTAAAATCCCTATTCAACAACGTACATTGTGACCGTGTATTAACATTTGATAATGCCCACTCAGATTTGATAATGCCCGCTGCGTAAAAAATGCTGTGGCACCTGGATATGAGACAGTGAATCCATCCCTATTGGTTAAAAGTCGGCATGCAACGCGGCATGCAGAACATGCCACACGTGTGCCAAGTCCATATATGGAGATTCTTTTGGACCACTTTTACAAGGAATTTATCGTAAAAAAATGGACAGGGTGTTCAGGAAAATAAAAGTAAAATTCCAGAACAAAATTGTTAGAAATTCGTCACTTATTGACACATTTTGAATCTCTGACTAAAAAAATGGTATTTTTGAATGGCAGGTCGGGAGAGTGAACGCTGATAATGCCCTCGCCTGTGGCTCAGGCATACATTGTTGGTTGTGTCTATTCCCCAGAGCCAGTCTTATACGTACATTAAAGACTAGCCAAACACACATTTATTCCCTTATTAACCACTTCCTGCCAGGGACTCGGGAATCAGAGATGTATGGTTTATATGTGTGGCCGGGTCTCCGAACTCGGACAAAGGAAACAAGGCCCTGTAACAAAAGACCGTACTCTGAACAAAAGACTAGGCTGCTGGGTATTACTGACATTTTTCACCCTAAAAAATGGTGATAATCCAGCCTTGTTTTGAAACCGTATACCAGGGTTTGGGGCATTGAGAGCGAGCGGTTTACCACCGGGGACAAAAGTGCTCCACCACTGCAGCGATGAGCCACACAGCCCTGCTGCACGCTAATCTGGCCCCTATTGAAAAGAGGTCAGCAGTGCACTGAGCCAGGTTCGTGAACAAAAGACAGTTCTACAACACCGCACAATCTGGCTTCTGTTTACAAGGCTGTAGGCCTGGCTGAAATACTCGGGTATCGGTGAAGGTCATCTGTCAACTTAGAGTAGTGCCTAAAGATTACTTTGTGTGGCTATAAACGACCGTTAAATGAAATGATGAATTTTCGAAGGATTTTGAAAACGGAAAAAAATGATGATGCCGGCCCAGCATCATCAACATTGAAAAATGCCCAGGCGTGAAGTGGTTAAAATAACATTTCTAGATTCATCTGTGCATTGTTGGAATTGAACTGGTTTGAAATTTACACAAATTTTCATTGTCCTTGCTTATAGATATAATTGAATAATACACAAAACGATGTGATGGTTGTTTTATTTCAGCGGTCTGGTCTACCTTTAGCGTGGGTGTGGGCCACTTCTATCAGCTTGTTGTTGGTCTTGTGTGGAAGCATTATGGTCGTGGTGAGTTGTAAATATTGATTGGTGTAGACCCTACAATCTTCTTTTTTGATATTCTCCAAATAGTTATACACATACATGTACCTCTCATATTAAATATGATTGACCATCGGAAAAATCTTAAAGTCACATTTATATCATTTAAAGTTGAGAGTTACGTCTCAGCTGTTATAATTCATACATGTATTTATCAAATTAGAAATCATATACTGGTTTAAGACTTGCCCTGTGTTCATTAGGAATAAGCAAAGCTCCAACTTTGTTTTTTGATTTTCCTGTATTTCTTGACAATATTTTCCAGCAGTTTTTCTGGGAGACTTACATTGCTTGAATTTGAAATTGTGAATAGACACTTTAAAATCCATTCTTGGTTGCAAAAAAACCCTGATTTTCCCATTTAACATGTACATACATGTATATGTATACTTTCGAACCAAGACATGAAGTGTATTATCTTATATATTAATATTCAGATGATACCAGTTTGTTCTACTGTGACAAAGATCTTACTTCCCCTCACAATATTGTCAATAAAAAACGGAACAGTATTTGTGATTGGTTTAAAGCTGTTTGACCCTCTTCTATGACAAAATATTTCACCTTCCACACCTAAATGTTATGATGTGATTTTCATTAACAGGAAAAAACAAAAATCATCAAATGTCAATACTGTATTGGATAGTGTTCCTATTGGAAGATTAATAGGTTTAGTTTTTGGTTTTATCATTGATGATTAATTGAGCTGGAAATACCACATTGACGAGATGGTAAAGTCTCCAGGAGCATTGGCATAATCAGTAGATTGAAACATATTGTCCTCTTTATTGTACCAAAAATGCTCTACAGCTCGTTAATATTTTTTCTAACTGTAAAATTGTCTGCGGTAACACTTTTTATACATTTCAAATACATTGTAAATTGATAATGATGCACAAAAAAGTTGCTCGAATTATTACAAATTCTCCTTATAGGCTCACAGTCAACCACTTTTACATGAACTAAAGTACTTACATGTAAGTGTCGCAAATTTGAATAAATATCAACAAGCATTATTCATACCCGGTAAGTATAAACAATTTACTCCCCTTACAGCTCAGATATGTTTATGCAGCACTGTAACTTATAAAGCTATAATACTCATACATCCACTGACCTACATTTCCATATATCTCAACATAGAACGTCTACTTTTCAATACAATATCAAATGTTCAGTCTGCTGCCAGGCCGTTTATATGCTACGGGTACCATGTGGGCCATTCCATCGGGTTTGGGAACAAAGTGAGTTATAATAGTGAAATTTTAAAATCTTCCAAAAGGTTCATCAGTCATAGTTTTGAGATAGGAAAAGTTTAATACTTTTAAATGCAGAAACAATTAAATGATGATTATGTACTCACAATTATTCAGTGCACCATATATTGAGGGCTGTCACATAAAGTGTGGACTGTATGCAATATTTTGTGCACATACATGTACATACCGCAAAGTGATCCCTTTTAGGAGACTGCTGTACTAGGATTAACATTTTATAGATTGAAAAAGACTCAAAACAAAAAAATGAGACAAGACTATTGTACTTTTGTTCCTTTACAACTTGAACAAAAGTGCTACATGTATTTTAACTTTTGAAGTTGTCTTACAAACACAATGATCTCAAAGAATGCAACCAACAAGCGGTATTTAATTTACAGACCTTGGTCATCCATCTACTAAAAGATGTATGATCTCTGAAGACTTAAATCTGGACGAAAAAAGGTCTTGATGAACTACTGGGGATGTAACATTAACACTCTGTGTATGTTACATCCATACCACCTCACCACAAAGGCCAAAGGGCAAAGTGGTCAAAATGAATACAAACGCAAGACACGAAAAACTGTGCAATTTTATAATCAACTATTTCATTTAATTTTGAGTGGAACATAAGGAATGCTTTTCTCTTCAAAAGTTGATGTCATGGTGCAGAAAATGAGTTCTAACCAAGTCTTCCACTGACGGTGGATAATGCTATGTAATGCTCATGTACTTATTTCTTAATTAAATTCTTTGCCAAGCCACAAATGCTATAATTGTTAATACTTAATGATTCCCACTCATTCAAAAATCAACTACATGTTTTAGTGAACTACTATGTCATTCCTTTTCTAACCTCAGTGGAGTGATTTTGTTTGCCCCCGAGAATGGTGTTGCGGATGTACATGTAACATCAACACTGCACTCATGTTACGTCTACATAGTCAATCTTTGAAAAAAAAAGGACTATTTAACAAGTTAACAATGATATATTCATACAAGTATGTATTAAAACCCTATTTACAAGCACTAAATAAAGTTCTGCAGTCCAGTTGAGGGATGCACTTTCGCATGTTGTTGAGGTAGTACTGTTTAATCCCAAGCTGGTGAGTCAATTCTATCAGTAGCCTAGCAATAACACAAAACACAACGAAACAGTGTGGGCCTCACGACAACAGAATTATACACAAAATAGAAAATCAACGTGTCGGAACAAACGTTTGGAAAAATGATAACATAATGAAAAAATAAAATGTAAAAACAATTTCAAGATGGCCGTTGTTCTTGTTCATATTTCCAACAATCGTTGGTTTTTACACTGTTTAAGGACACTGAAATGAAACAGACAAGCTGGACAAGAGTGTTCTAAATACAGGGAATTTGTCTTGGAAAGTTGTTCAAGAAATTAAAAAACAGCTGGTATTCTTGTCCATGTGGCCTGCATATCGATATCACTTGATTTTTTTTTTTACTTAAGCTTATTGGTAGGGTCAACATGAAGATGTGGAAAGTGACTGATAGTCTAACGTAAGAAGCTACTACTTGTAAGTTTTTTATCATGTTCATGAAAAATCCATGCAGTTGCCAATATTATTATATCAAGACTAAAATACAATTCATGCTTCATTTTCGAAGTGGTCAATAGAATTTTCTTGAGCAAATGTCAATATAAATGCCAACATAACGGATCAAGATGTTCACTTTGTTCCATGTACCCCTCAGAAATTGGGGTCCGTTATCCGCAGCCACCACAGCTCTCCCATGGCGAACGATAGACCCCACAGTTCTGGGGCTAAGTATGACAAACATTGACACCGAATAAGAAACCCATGTAAAGGCACTTGGGCTGCCCATGGAAAGACACATAAATTTTTTGCAGGCTCCTTAGCGCCGATGCAAATGCACCATAAATCTGGACACTTGCATTTACTGAACTGAACAGCCGGAAGAAAGCTCATGATGTCTGTATCACCAGAGCCTTGAGAGGAGCGGAATATGGGACTGATCATCATGTGATCAGGTGTCGATTCACTGTGCAAGGTGCAGAGAAGCAAAGCCCCTAAAAGGCTTAACGTCAGCAAACTTTGAAGATGAACATGATGCAAGATGATCTTGCATCTGCAATCCTTTCTAATTACACCCCAACTCCCAGCGACACTATGGAGGAGAGTGGTAGCAATTTCAGTCATGCTTGTACAACCAGGCCAAAGTGGCACTTGGGCACCGTAAGTGCAGAAAGATTAGTTTAACGACTCTGAAGAAGCAATTACTGATATGCTGGTACAGAAGAGAAGAACCCTCCGAGCATGCCTTGCCAACCCACAGAGCCACAGAGTCGGAGCAGAATTCACCACAGCCAAGGCCAATCTTGAGAGAGAGCTCAGAAAAATGGAAGACGAGTAGTGGTACGATAAAGCCAATGAGATAAGGCATCTGGTGGACGCAGGAGACTCTAGCGGATTCTTTCAGGCTCTAAAGACGGTCTTTGAGTCAGATGGTGCCAAATCTAGTCCTGTGCTATCTACAGATGGCTCCACCCTGTTGATTGAGAGGTTAGACATTCTGGAGAGATGGCGTATTCACTTTAATCAGTTTCTCAATCAGAGTTCCATTGCTGATGCATCAGTTCTTAGCAACATTCAACAATGACAAATTCTAAACTCTGCTGACTACTCCCTCCAGCTACATGTACATTAAGTCAGAAGTACTGTGAAGACCCTCATATCAAATAAGTCCCCTGGGCTTGACAGCATCCCTGCTGAGATCTATCAGAAAGGAGAAGAGGTCATCATCAGAGCCCTCTAAAACAAGCAGCAAGCGGCAATGTGGGAACTACAGGGGAACATCCTGCCTGTCCATAGCTGGCAAGGTCCTGGGGAAGGTCATTCTAAAATGCTTTCGAACTGTGCTTTTTATAAAAATCATGCTCCCTGAGTCTCAATGTGGCTTTCGTAGCTTCAGGTTAATCATTGACATGATTTTTACTTTGAGACAATGACAGGAAAAGGCCATCAAACAGAATATGGCCCTCTTCATAGCATTCCTAGACTTTACTAAAACCTTTGACACCGCCAACAGAGAATGTCTATGGTTACTCCTCAGATGATATGGCTGCCCCCATGGCATTGTCAGGCTCATCTCTAATCTTCACACCGGCTCAAGTGGTCTCAATGGAAACCTCTCTGAATGCTGCAACTTGAACTAAGTGTCAAACAAGGATGTGTCCTTACCCGTCACTGTTTTCACTGTACGTTTCAGCAGTTATGGAACTCTGTCCAGCAAATTGGAGTGTGTATCTGACCACCTGCTCTAATGGCAAGCTGTTCAATGCCTATCACTTGAGGGCTAAGACACTGATGACCAGAACTGTATGTCCCAGAGAGCTTCTCTGTGCCGATGACTCCGTTATGGTGTCCCACTCAGCAGCTGACCTGCAGTGGATGCTGGACAGCTTCCACACTGTTACTCGGAGTCATGGCCTCACCATTAACACAGCAAAGACAGAAGTCATGCTCCAATCGCCTTGCAACTAAGCCCCTGAACCCAACATGATGCTGAATGGCAGCTGCTTGAATGCAGTCAAGCACTTAATGTATCTTGGCAGCACAGTCTCAAGTGACGACAGTCTCGACAAAGAGCATATCGGTGCAGCTACATGTACTGCCACCTGAGGCAACTTCAAACTTGGGTGTGGAAGAGACACAGCATCAGCTTCATTTTGGCCACCAAGTGTAAAGATTACAGAGCAGTGGTACGCACGTGCGTCCTTTATTCTTCACAAACATTACCAAAGATACATGTGTACATCAAGCAGTTACAGAGGGTTCAGATGACAGAGCTGAAGCACCTGATGGGGATACAATAGACAGACAGGGTCACTGATGTTGAAGTTCGCCGCATCCCAAGGATGACCATTTTTAAACAACGAAGACTGTCTCAATAAATGCCACTTAAAGGCTACAGTGATGTTTAGGCACTTTCCATATGAAATAAACCATCAGATGTTGGTTTCCTCCGTTTTGGTACATTAATGTGTAAGAGTTGATATTATGAACAACCTGTAAATCCATAGATTGTATTTTTGTCCGTCGGACAGTGTAAATATAAAGTAGGCACGTGGGGTGCATCATGACAGAAGCATTTCTTAGCATTTGGCCCATGATGTATAAATTCATGCTCATGATAATCAGTGTCTTATTAATTTATTGTAGAAAAAGGAGAAAATTCTGCTTATTTTGGCTTAAATGGGTTATGAATATAAATGAGATGTTTGGGTAAATTCATGCATGTGACAATATGTTTCGTATTAGTTTGTTGCAAAAATTCTGTCCATGTTACTTACAAACGTAATTATTTTCAATGAACCTGTATTTCCAAAAGTATAAGAGAAAGCCATCTGTATTTCTGTACGCATTATCTTATAAAGCCTTCGATGTTCATTAACCACTTGCTGCTGGGTGCTTTCAAAAATGCAGTGCACAGGTACGGGAGATTTTCAAGATTTTCAGTTTTCAGAATTTTTAAATCATTTCATTTAATGGACGTTTACACCCACAAGAATGACTGTTTGGTGGCTACTCAAAGCTGACAGGCAACCTTCATTGACTATTTGAGTATTTCAGCCAGGCCTGCCGCCCCCTGTAAAGAGAACCCAGAATTGTGAGGTGCTGCGCAATTTCCTTTGTCCCCAGTGAGTGCAAGTGGCGTCTTTTCAAACGCGGCTGGATTAGCATGCAGTGGTGCTGTGTCGCTCATCAATGGGGCCCTGGTGCACTTTTGTCCGTGGTGCTAATCCGTGGGCGCGCTATGCCCAAAACAGTGGTACACTATTTGAAAACAGTGACAGATTACCTTTGAAAAATGCAAGCCGAAAAATGATGGAAATTCCCAGCAGCAGGTCTTTTGTTCTGAGTATGGTTGTTACATGGACCAGCTTTTTTGTCACACTTTGGGCATCCCGGCTCTGCGTATAAACCTACGGTGCTCGAAACGGGATTCCCTAGCAGCAAGTGGTTAAACAGGAGTGTAAGAATTAAGCTTTTTAGCTGATTTTATTTAGTTCTGTTTAGATGTTGTCCCTGAATTTCAGCTTTTTTGTACACCCAGTCTGTACAAAAAGTATTGGAACTTCTTACATTTCAGCTTTTTGTTAGCTGCTTTCAGCTTTAATTTTAAGTGTCCACTTACACCTCTGGTTAAAAGAAGGACAAAATATCCTGAGTTGCTGTACCCTCCAGGGCCCCCTAACCAAATCCCAAAGTTGTAGCAAATTGTTGCCTTCACCATGGAAGTGCATCCAACTCAAACATAAACATTAGGTAATCAAGCACTGGACATAATACTTGGAAGAGATTGTGTACACAGTGTATATTTATCAGGTGGCTGTACTGATGTGGAAGGGGCTTGATTAGTACCAGCTACATGTATCATATCTAACTTATATAATTATGTGTAGAAGAAATGATCGTGTAGTGGTGAGGCCGACTGGTAACAATAATTAAGAAGCATGTGTCTTTGCAGATCCTCAGGCCTTCAGCTGCAGGATCAGGTTTGCCTGAATTGATTGGATTTCTAAATGGAACTTTAGTGCGACATATATTCAACGTGAAGACTCTTGCGGTCAAGTTTGCATCATGCATCTGTGCTGTGTCAAGTGGGCTGCCAGTGGGTCCTGAGGGGCCAATGATTCACATGGGGTGAGCTGTTTTAAAAATATATGTCTGTCTGTCGGTAGGTAACTCATTTTCATTTAGGGTAAACTCTGATCAGTGCACAGGATCCTTAGATTTACTATGTGAGTAGAGGGTATACAAGGGCCACTCAGGCAACTGCCGAACAACCTACATGTACATCTGCCCACATCTGTAGAGAAGAAGCAATGAGAAGCAGTTAAAGTTTTAAAGGTTGCAGGAAAACCCCGCGAGAATGTTCTGGGTAAAACACACTGAATCAGATAGGGACTGAAAACCTGATCCACATACACTGTATGGACTGAGTTGGGAATCCAACGCAGGCTGCAGAGGTGAAAGGTGAAGAAAAAAACCACTACACCAACCTGACTTTCCTTAATATTTTTTAAAATAAATGGCTGTATTTTATTTAAAAATCAATATGATGTTGTAGGAAAGAAAAACCCTGTCTTTTTTCTTTTTCTTTTATTTTGCAAATAAAGTGAATACATGTACTTGTATATAAAATGTAACAGGCCAAAGGAATAATTCAGAGGACTTTCAGAGGCTTTCGTCTGAACGTGACGTAATTGTCAAAAATTTGTTTTTAGTATCCTATCGGAGTTCAGAATGGTATCTTTTTCAGAATTGTTAACAAGCTCTTAACAATCATAAATATGAGATCATTGGAAATGAGGATATTGAATTGAACAGAGTTTTGTTAACATCTTATTTTCTATCTACAAACCAGCAGGATCTTGAAATGGTTCAAAGTGGTTAATGTTTACACTAGTTATTTGTAAAATAAGCTCAGCACCTCGTTACAAATTGACTGAGGTAAATTGCGCAAGTTCAACTGAAATAATTTGCCCTGAAACAAACTGATAAAACTCTGAAACTGCAAACTTAACATAATAACCATTGAAAGAAACGTCAGTATTATCTAGTGTAGAACTAGAAAGAAATTCCAAAGAAGTGAATAACCAAAAAAGCCATGTAATAATTGGCTTTTTTGCAAGTTGTGAAAAAAGCATTTCTTCTGTTGTGTTTTTTTCCCCGACTTCTTCTGACCCAAAACCCCTTTGTTTTGAACACGTTTCTTCCAACATTGATTTCAATCCCTTAGCAACTTTGGATCTTCATCAAACTTACATCATTGAAGGACCCTTGTCATGTCATGATGATGTCATGATGACATCATTAAGTGATTTCTTATTGATTTTTTAATATTTATTTCAGCCCATTGACTTTGTAGATGTTATCTGGGCACCATTTAGGTATCTTAGCTATCTTTGATCGTTATCAAAGTTACACCAAGCACAGACCCTAAGGCAAAGATATTATTGAAATAGTTGCATCGTGATGACATCATCAAGTGATTTTTTATGAAATTTTGAATATTAAAATATTATGTTACATTTTTTAAAATCCATACAAAATCAACCGTGGCCTCCTGCAACATTCTGTTCGCATAAGGGGGCAGAGTATAATTTGGTCTTTCATTCGTCTCGTGTTGGTAAAATCATGTGACACTTCAGGTCGAAACTGGAAGTGGGCTTATTGTTTAAAAATGGTAAAAGATATTGACTTGTTTTCAATGGTGTAGTTTCTTGGGGCATTGTACTCTTTAAAACATCTACTGATGATGTCTTGCAAATGTCCAGTGCCCTCTAGTGACAGAAGCATGATGGGAAGTGTCTCTCGCCCGCATGGCAGGAGGGCGGAGCGAGAGCAGAGAGACGACATGCAGCGCAGGTCAATCATCTATTCATATTCATGCATGGTCGCAAGGGCCAAATGCGATGCACAACTCTGGCAATCATGCAGCAAGACAAGGCTTGAGATAAGGTCCAACAGCATTTAATAGCTTTATACACAAGGATGCTATAGTGATGAAGAAAACTCGCAGGCATAAGTGCAACATAGTATGAATAACAGTAATTCAGAGATTTGCTACAGTCCTTTTATTCTTCCAAATTTTGTAAAAAATTAACCGTGAGAGGTATATGTGTGAAATGCCCTTTAGCTGATAGTTAAAACATTGGAGTCCATTGCATCAAGTACATAACTGGCTCATCTATTCACACATGAGGCGCTGACCACAAAAACACACCTTCCTAAATTTGCCAACTCGGAATTCCCATTTGTACTATAAACTGTGTATTGGCTTCTGTGTGGTTGAACACGGTATGTCTGTCTAATAACAAAGACCTCGTACAGTGCGTAGGGGAATATTTGGGGCCATAAAATAAGCGAGTGGCACTGAAGTTGGATCACTTTGCATGGAACGCCAAATTACCAAAATGTTATTCCAACATGTGGCACTGATTTGTATGGAAGGCCAATTGACCAAAATATTTTACATCCAATAAAACGAATTCCGTGCTTTTTTCTTGATGAATACAACATCCACCTGTATTGTACATATTCAGTTATGTTGAAACCTGGCAGGTAGCTATCACAGGATGTGTTATAGATGATCATTGACCTTGTGTACATATTGATGACATAAAGACATGACAAATATTATTTGTTATATTATATTATATTACATCGTGATTTGAAATAATGTGACATGAAAGGTGCAATCTTCAAAGCAATATATCTTGTGAAGTACTTATCCGCTTGGTTCAGACCTTGGTTTTTATCTTGAAAGGGGAGGAATTTAGAAGAACAATGACCTGATGTGATGATGATGTCATCAGAAGACAAGTAATGTGACATTAAAGGTGCACTCTTTAAAGCACTATATCTTGTGAAGTACATGTCTGATTGGGTTCAAACCTCTCAGATATCTTGATAAGGAAGAGCTTTAGATGAAAATTAAACTGATGTTGTTAGGAATTCATCATGTGAGTAGTCATATGACATTAAATTTACATTCATTACAGCCCTATATCTTGTGAACTACATGTCTGATTGGGGCTTAAATTTTGTAGATAGCTATAACGGGAAGTGTTATAGACAAGGTGACATGCTGTAAAGGGTGCAAACTTCAATTTGTTATATCTCTTAATGTCTGAAAGGGTTCAAATATTTCATCATCTTGAGGTCACCAAATGTTGTTAGAAACTTTTGAAACTCTTGGATAGATGTTTGGGTAAGAAGTGAGAAATCCAAATGTGGTGGTGTCTGAAATGAAGGAATGTCCTTTTCTTAAGAAAAAAAGAGAATGTGAAAAGCCCTTGGCTCTGTCCTTAAGACAGACAAAACCTCCAGTTTATAGTATGAAGTTAGTGATTGCATACACTTGATTGGTGAATTGTTTAAACTTCAAGTGGACAGAACAAAAAATGAGTCATGTTACATATTTCAAAATATCTCCCCCAGTGCATATTAGCTTCCAATATAGATTAGCAGTTTAGGAAACACAGTAAGCTTCAATTTGATGGCAAATAAGTGATTTCTGACTTTTACTTGGAGGGAAAATGAGCTTTATTTTGGGGGGGGGGCACACTACATAGAAAAGCACTGTCTTGTATATATCCCCATTAATGAAATGTGAATATTAAAACATCAGTGTTCTCATTTTTCAGGTCCCTGATTGGCGCTGGAATGAGTCAGTTCAAATCTGACACACTGAACTTTGATATACCTTTCTTTCAAAGGTTTCGCAATTCTGAAGACAGGTAAGATATAGTAAAATAATGAAAATTTAACAATATGTACGTATATGTCTTTCTAAAATGACAGCACAAATCTAATTTAAAAATTGGCTTTGAGTGCATCTAGATTCTCACAGTGAAATGTCCTTAAGTATATAAATATACTTAAACAGTTGCTGGTTAACAAGCATAAACTGCATTCTGCCCACAAGTCAGCCTGATGATGCCAGCTAGCACATGAGGTCACTGGTCTCCTGCCCAGGCCCTTGCATTTCAGTGATTCAAAAGTTTGAGAATTGCTCACGTCCTTTCCCTTTAATTGACTGAACTGGCTGAATGTATTTTCACTCGTGGTAAATGTTGAAGGTTAATGGCTTTCAAAGAGTTACGGTCAGCAGAGCATGGGTAATATAAGCCACGAAACACTGATAAAATAACACTTGCAGCACACAGTCACATGCAAGTTCCCATCAGGGCCAAAACACTGCAGACGGCCATTCAGGAACTACCAATGTGGCTCTGGCTTTGCTTTCTTTTGTATGTTGAAGAGCTTTAGATATTAATTCTATGGGTGGCCCCAACCAGTTATTATCTTGACTCCACTCTTTAGTTAACCACTTCCTGCTGGGGCAGTTATCAATGTTGATGATGCTGGGGCGGGATATTTGTCATTTTTTTCTGTTTTCAAAATTCTTTAAAAATTCCTATCTTCATTTACTGCACACTTACACCCACACAAAGAATTGTCTGGTGTCCACTCTAGCCCAACAGACAAAATCTATTGATGCCGAGTATTTCAGCCAGGTCTGCAGCCTTTTTAAAAAGAACCCAGATTGTGCGGTGCTATACAACTTTCTTTTGTTCACGAACCTAGCACAGAGCACTGCTGACCTTTTTTCAATAGAGGCCAGATTAGCATGCAGCGGTGCTGTGTGCCTCATTGCTGCAGTGGTGGAGCGCTCTTGTCCCCGGTGGTAATCCGCTTGCTCTAAATGCCCCAAACTGTGGTATACTGTTTCAAAACAAGGCTGGATTATCTCCACTTTGAGAGATAAAAAATGCTGGTAATTCCCAGCAGCCTGGTCATTTGAAAGATATTACCCATGTTTTCTTTCTGGTGGTCGTATTGTGGCACTGTACCTCCAACCGACCCGGTCTTTGGCTCCCCCACATCGGTGAAGTCTAAGAAGCGCAAGGCTAAGTCTTTTTCTTTGGCTTCTTCTTTGTCCAAGGCTAAGAAGAAAGGCCCTCTGATCCGGGTCCACCCCCGTAGATGGTGACCCTCCAGCCCCTCTCGGAGGCCTTCACCTCTCTTGCCCACAAGATAGACTCCAAGCCTCAGCCAGCGGCAACAGCACTGGACCCAGATCCCCTCCCAGCCATCCCTTCTCTCTTGCAAGGGCCATTCTGGGAGGCTAAGGTGGTTTCTGTCATCCAGCCAGAACCGCTTCCCCAGTGGGACTCGGCTCAGGATCATGTCTTGGATCGTGATGACTCTCTCCGTTCGGAACATGGTTCGGCTTTCCCCTCTTTGGGCCTTCAACCGCTCTCTTCCGAGGATGGTGACATTGACTATTGCTGGCCTGACTCAACTCGAGGGCCACGCCTGCCTTCTTGAGTGCGACATGATCCACATTCTCGGGCTCCTGTCCTCAGACCTACGCCTGCAGAGCAAGGACACACTTCGTTCAAGCATCACCCTTCACGCCTTGATTCAGCTGAGCCTGTCTTTCCGGAGATCCCCCTGGATCACTCCTGCGTGGAGATGATGAACGTTCTGGTGAAGGCTAAGCGCTGGCACATAACTCTTCCCAGGATTCTGCCTTACTACTGCTTTCCCCAGAAGGACGTCAACGAGAGACTTAACTCTGTCTTTGAACAGTTCACCCGCATTTCGCGTCTGGCCACTTCCAGCTGCATAGCCAATGCAGTGGACGCCATGCACATACCCTACAAGTCAGTCAAGAACAAACTGCTGAATCTTCCGCTTCTGGGAGATGACTTGTTTGCTGGGAAATTTACCGAGGTCCTGGAGTCAGAGGTGAGGGTATGGAGACTGCCATGAAAATTTCACTTTGTGAACCTGTGGCTCCCCCACGCCAGCAGCTACCGCTGCCACCGAGATGACAGGCAGGTCCGCCCTCATCGGCAGGCCACTCCTTTAGTCACCTGCTCCTGTCAGCTACTCGGCAATCAGACTCCGGTCGAGCTCTGCCCCCAACCGCTCCGAGAAGACTCCAGCCACTGGCCGCGGGGTCACGCACTGCGCCCCCTGTCCCTTCGGGGGGCAGTGCCAGTGACTACTCTCCTTCGCCTTCTGGGCAATTTCATCAGGTTCTGACAAGGAATCACTGCGGACAGCTGCGTCCTTGCCACCATTGCCCATGGCTACACCCTCGAATTCATGAGCTCTCCGCCGTCTGAGATGGTTTTCTGTTCTACTCTCCCTCCATGCTACAAGTCCAAGCTCCTGGCTCTGGAGGAGGAAATTTCCGCATTGCTATGTATATGAGCCATCACGCTGGTGCACCATCTACGACAGCACGACTTTCTCATCTTTCAACACCTAGGCAACTGGTTAATCATCAGCTGTTCCCCCGAAAAGGCCAAGGCCTGCACTTCTCTCATCCTCAACGTCACGATGCACCTTAGGTTCCTCATCAACTATGACAAGTCGGCCCTCAATCCATCACAGAGACCGACCTACCTCGGAGCAGTCCTCTACCTCCGCAAAGGCATTGCAGCTCTGATGCTAGAGTGCATCCTCAACCTGCGTCAATGTGTCCTCCAGTTTCTGTGGTCGGAGGCTCCTCTAGCGTTAGCCTGGCTTTGTCTCCTCGGCTTAATGGCCAGCCTGGTCGATCTCGTCCCACGGTGTCGTCTGCAGATGCGGCCACCTCAACTGCATCTCCTTTCTCGGTACCATCCCAAGAGTGACCCGATTACTACCTTGGTCCCTCTTTCGTTGGATATTCACAATCACCTTCGTTGGTGGACAGTCACCGAGCACCTGTCGGTTAGCCTTCCTTTCGTACCTCTGGGTTCGGGCGTGACTGTAATGACAGACGCATCGCTATTTGGATGGGGAGCCTCCCTTCCTCCACTCCATGCCTCCAGAATCTGGGACACAGCCTTCTGAGGCAAACACATCAACATGTTGGAACTCAAAGTGGAATTCAATGCTCTTCGCTACTTCTGACAACATTTAGTTTGCCGTCCACAGCAGTGGCGTACATCTGCCACTAAGGCGGCACTCGCTCTTCTCAACTCTGCGTCCTTGCATGGCAGCTCTTTCTGGTGTATGCCTTTCCTCCAATCTCCCTCATCCAAGATAGAATGGGAGCCATGTCGGCCTTCACTCGGGCTTCAGCGATGGGTTGACTGTCTTTGACATTGCCGCCATCCACCATCTCCTTCGAGGAATGTTTGTTGAGTGTCCCCACGTCAAAATGCCTTGTTTTATCCTGGGACCTTGGAAGCATCTAACACATTCTTGCTGATCCCATCTTTGAACCGTTGTCCGATGCGTCCAACCTCCATCTTAGTATCAAACTGACGTTCTTCCTGCATGCTCTATCGATTGCCAATGGCCACATCTACTGGGAGCCGCACAGGGTTCGCCTCATCCCAACCATTAGGTTCTGATGAAAAACCAGACACCTACCTTCCGGCCTCCCAACACATTCGTTCCCGATTTAGTCTTGCTTTCGAGAGACGACTCTGACAAGAGATGGTGTCTAGTTTGGACTTTCAAGTGGTATCTTGCCAGGACCAAGCATCACCAAGAATCTAATTCCTGGCTCCTTGTCACTACGACAAAACCCTTTCACCCAGCGTCGAAGGACACTATTGCCAGATGGACGGTCTCAGACATTATCCTTGCTAACCAAGACTGGCCAGCACAACATGATGAGACGGCCCGATCTCACGTCCGGGCCCACAATGTTTGGGCCACCTCTGCATCCTGGTCGTACTTCAGAGGAGTTCCTCCAGCTGAAATCTGCCAGGCGGCTTGCTGAAAATCTCCCTCCACCTTCACCAAGTGTTACCTGAAAGATGTTCTGCAGAGCAAACAGCCCATGGCAGAGTGACCCTGCGCTCGGCAGTCCGGACAATGTCCAGTGCTGTTCCTGACCTGGCGGTGGATAGTTCGACTTAAAAGTTTCTCCTGGTGAGTGCCCATTCTTGCGACACTGGTCTTATGTTTCTTCTAGTTATTCTCGGACAACAGACAAAAAAGTCTTGCAATGGAGATGTAGGTTTGACTTTTGGGCATAGATTTCCTAGCTGCTGTTTTATTTCCTTTGTATTCATTATGCTTATACCATAATTATAGCAGCTTGCAAAAATGGGCACGTCTGCCCAAATCAAGAGCACAGGGCATGCTTGCCCGAAATATTGGGCATGATTGCCCGATTTTGCCAAGCTTGGCAGCTATGGGCCCAAGTCCTTGGCATGCTTGCCATCTGTTGAACTAGCCCCACCGGAACAAGCTAGCCAAAATGTTTGTGCTCGATTGTATGTCATATGCCTAAATTATCAATGTAACCAATCAGCCCCACCAGAACAAGAGGGTGCCTGGCGTAAGATTAAGGCGCCATCCCCGAATTGACTAAGCCTACCAGGACGCAGACATGTCGTGGAATCACAGAGAGCATGCTAATCCCTGCCAAACAAAAGAGCCATTTTCAACCCAGCGGCTCCGCAGACGGAACACAATATGCAAGCTTTATGCAGATTACCAACCTCATGAACACGGCCGATCTTCCGCGTATCAGCTGGCAATCTTTGGCAGGGCAAATCCCTTGGAATTAACACATGGCCGAGTTTCTGCTGACATACTGGTCGACTTCCAGTTAGAACAAGATCAGCTGCCAACTTTAATTTAAAAACCACAAGGTTTTTTTTTCTGAAGTTGGCCGGCTGCCCTGGTTGGAATTCAGAAAAGGATGCATACGTTTAGGTACTGTGCAGGATTTGCAGCTTGCCAAAATTGACCGATTTTGGGGTTTGTGACTTAATTA